ATACTGCATACTGTGCAAACGGAAATTTGCAAGTTTGGAAATCTTAATGAAGCACGTTCGAATGTCTGATCTACATAAGGCTCGCGCTTTTTATATTTTGTTTTGGAAATTTTAAATGCTATGAAATTCTTGAAAAGTCCAAAAATATTGCTTTTTTCCGTTAAATCTAAAACACGCTGGATTGGTAGTATTCCAAAATCGCCAGTAACCTTGCAAATGATCTTGGGGCTCTGCGACCTCTTTTTGGTCATTCCCACGTGTAACAGAAGTAACTGTTTTTCAGAAGAATCTGGAGGCACATTTGCTAGAGTCTTCGTTTGGTGAGGGTGGATCAGTGCCGCTATTATCCGCAACTACTTCTCAAACTACGTCGTTGATGTCCATGTCCCAGCCTTACAGAGATCGTGCGAAAGAGCGCCGGAATTTGTTTGGCTTGGATCCAAGTGGTGCGTCCTTCTTTTTACTTTTTTTGGCCCTAGGTTCGCTGAAAAATTATCGAAGAGGAAATTCTTTTTTTGTTTAGGATTCACGAGCGACGTACCTGAGATTGAGCCTGATTATGCAGTAAGGTCATCAGACATTCCAATCGATGAAACGAACATTGGCAGCAAATTGCTGAAATCGATGGGTTGGCAGGAGGGTACTGGAATTGGCAAAAATAATCAAGGTATTTATCTCTCTGCTTCATAATTTTTTCATTGTGGCGGAAGCTGTAGAAATCTAGACTTTTACATTTTTAAACTGATGATTCAAAACATTCTGCCTGCCATTTAATCAAAATTGAATACTCGAATTCACACGCCCGCAAGCACTCGATCCCACCGAGGGTCAGTTGCTAGTGCTGCTCTTCAGCATCTCGTACGTACAGACGTATAGTCTGGTGCCAGTTGTGGTACGCTGCGTGGTTCCTCTTCCAGTTCTCGCCGGTTTTTTTATTGTTTAGAATTTTAACTGTATTCTTAACCGTTTTTAAGAATTTTTACTGTCTTTTGTTAACTGTATTTTTTGTTAACTGTATTT